CCGAGGGTGGAAAGGATGCTGGGAGCAGCCCGGACCACCGCTCGCATCTCCACCGCAGAAACCCAGGAGCAAGGCCTGCATTTATGCTGCTGCCTGCAATGGAGGTGCTAGAGCCCGGCTGGGGCAGAGGGCAGGGCAGGCCTCGGAGGACTGCCGCCAGCCTGAGGGGCCCCCTGCCCCAGGATAAAATGGAGATAACAGCACTCATATGGGAAGGCTGGGGGGCGGGGGACAGATGAAATGTCTCCTGGTACAGCTTTCCACACTTGGCTCTGGTTTATGTGGTTACTGAACTGCACAACCAAAGACAAGAAACTTCCGGTTTGAAGGTGGGAGGGACTGAGGTCTGGAAGGTCCAAGTGCACCCCATCCGGGCAAAAGGGCGCTTCAGCCGCTGAAATCAGATTCCGAGTTGCAATTCCACCGAGGAGGGAGGTCAAGTACCTGAAGCCACTGTCCTGGGAAAACTTGGGATTCAAAGTAAAAAGCTCGAGGCATTGCACCTCACAGGTTCCCAATTCTCGCACTGAGAACCACTGCCCATGAAAGCAGGTGTGGCTCCAGTGCCCCAGCCACTTCCTTATTTGTTGCTCAGGTTTGTCACCAGCAGCCCCCCAAGCCTGCAGGGTTTTCTCCCACAAGGTGAAGTAGCAGGGATGCAGCCAGAAACGCGTTAAAATTCAATCCCCCCCCTGCCCCCCCCCCCCAACACAAAAACAAACTACAAGCAAGTACATTTCTTTATTTAAAGTATCTTTCTCTTATAGGAAAAAAATGTTCCCTTAAAGCACATTTAAATGTAAAATAATTCCATTTAGTGTAGCAAAACTAAAAGGCTGTTTCTCTTTACACATTATTCTGCTCTCAAAAACCAGTCCAGAGCTGCTGTAAACGGACTTTCATCTCCATCACGCCCACTTGGCTCTCTTGGTCACACAACTACAGATATGAATTTAAAAGTTAAGGAATGTTAAGTCATGAGTTCACGTACAGCTCACCAGTGAGGCAAGGTCGGCTGACACAGGGCAGCTGTCACCTGCTCCAACGCCGATGACCTGGTACCAAAGATCCAGTGCCAAGGACTCAGTAGCTTCCAGTTTGTTTCTCTCGAAGACTCACCTAAACATTCACTACTTTGGTTCCCGATTCCTACAATAAATCAACGATAAAGGCTGGCCCAGAGGCAGTGCAATCTAGCAGCAGCTCTCAGCACTACTGACAGCTGACAGCCTTCATGTACTCTCACCAGGAGACCTCATATTCTGAACACAGATATTCCCTCGAAATAAACATTAATACTCAAAACACAAAATAGAATCAGATTTTCCTTCCCTTCTGGTAGTCCAATATATTCCTTCCATATGAACCCTGACTTTCCAGATGGCAGGAATTCTATGTGCAAATCTCCAGCACAAAACTACTCAGAACATGTGACTTCTACTTGAAAAGCTCTTCACAATATGACGTCCAAGGTGCACAGAAGGCCCCAGTGATCGCTGGGAAACCGGCCACACTCCAGTTTCTCCAGCCCAAGGAGATCCAAACTCTGGGGAATGATGTGGCCGCCTCCTGCCGCTGCTCGGAAAAATATCCGATCAAAGCGAAGCTTACAGGTGGCACGGATGCCAAGGTTGGAGTTCATCTGTGTGTCCCACGTGTACTGGCAGTGCTTAGGTTTGCCCAACAACTCCCAGACATCTGAGATGTTGCCGGGTAAACCACCGCATTTGGTAACCTGAAAAGACAGAAAACTCTGTAAGATTCCAGTATTTTCCCTCTAAATTAAAACAGTGCCTTTGGAAATATTAAAAGTCTGCAAGTAACAGGATCACTTCTATTATAGTCTAAAATATGTTTTTCTCTGGCTCTACTTTTGTTCATCAGTTTGTTATTATATATATAAATGTAGATGCCATTTGTATGATCCAATGTCAACTGCCTTCCGTTTTATTTGAAATTTACTAACAATATTAAGTCTTCCTTTTTCACTCACACTTGTGTTTTTTTAAATTATTATAAATTATACGTAAAATTTACCATTTGAAAATATACATTTATCAACAGCATTAAGTATACCCACATAATTGTGCAGCCAGGCCTTTTGGCTCATTTTAACCAGGCTGTCTTTTTTGAAGCGTTTCTAGCATTTTAATGCAGATCAGCATGTCCGGTCATTCCAGCTGCAGCTTCTCCTTCTGCCGTGGCCGAGAAAAGGTGCCGGCTGCTTGGGCTTCGGACTTCACACTACGCTTGTTTTTCTTGATCCTGACATGTGTGGCGCCCTTTGGCCTGGCCGGGCGCAGCAAATCCTTGATTTCCTCACTTTTGTGAGGCACGCAGCCAGCACAGTAAGTGGCAAGAAGCGAAGAGGATGAAAAAATAATAATCAGGTTCTTATTGTTGGCTTTTCCTTGTGAGAGTTCTTTATATATTCTGAATACGAACTGCTTGTGGGATATACGATTTGCAAGTACTTCCCCCACTCCATGGGTCGCCCTTTCACTCCACTGCACACAGTTTATTTTCATGACATCCGCCGCCTCGTCTGTTTGTTCTGTTGTCTGTGCTGTTGGTGTCGCACCCAAGAGGTCATTGCCAATCCAGGGCCATGAAGCTGCCTATGTCCTGCTCGGACTTCAGGTCTCTGGTCCGCGCCGGAGAGCTCTGATATGGGATGTAAAGACCCAACTCATATTCCTGCACATGGTATCAGTTTCAAACGCTACTTGTTGAAAAGCGCGGTTTCAAAGTCACTCAACCAGACACTCAGAAACCGCTGCCATGAACAAGTCAATCTGCGAGCCGCCGACAGAAAGGCCCGTTCTTAAAGTTCTTAACGGCTGTGCCCGTGCCGACACCGCGCCCAGGAGGCTGAGCCGCCGCCTTCCTGGGAAACTGCCTTCCCTGGGGCAGAGTCCTGACGGCTCTCCTTCCCTGCTCAGTCGTCCTGCCCCTGGAGCCGTGGCAGGGACCTGAGCAGAATCTCCATCTCCCTCCGCTCTCAGGGACCTGGGCCAGCGCGGCGAAGGCAGGTTCTGGGTCTGTAAGGGCCCTGGAAACCTCACTACGTCTCAACGGAACGAAGGAGAGAGAGACATCGTTCAGACCTGGACAGGTGGTGCCAGGAAAGGGGACAACCATGACGCTCCACTCTTTGTTCTCCTCACCTCGCAACTAGACCCACGGTGAAGATGACTTTCCTAAGCTCCCTCACCACCGGCCCCCCGAGAGCCCTCATTCCCCACTGCCCTGCGTGTCTCACGCCCCGTTTCCCCGGCACCCAGCAGGCCTCCTGCCTCTGCTGCCGCCATGCTGGCCAGGGCACGGCTGAGGCACTATTGCTGGGCTTTCACCGACAAGGGCACGCGCCCCTTCACCAGCGTTATTCACAGGGAACCGGAATCAGCTCCCACGCCAACAACCCGCCCGACGCAGTGAACGGCTGTCACTCACCTCGTAATCCCTTAAGTTTGTGTCTCCTGCAAATATGACGGTGGCCGACTCGGGAGCCTCCTGCATCTTCTTTAGAACCATTTTAAACTGATTCGCGCGCTCCTTCGCGTGCCCCCGGGTGCTCTCCAGGTGGGACGTCATGAGGCACAGCTCGTTTCCCGACACGCTCGCCTGACACGGGACCAAGAGCACAGCTGTTACGTCACCCCCGGTGCTGCCCTCTGACCCAGAATCAGCAGGTCAGCCCCTGACTGGCACACCCGGAAGCGAAGGGAATAGTAACAAATTCTTAGGAAAGAATTCCTTTCACGTTCTTAGGAAAACATCTAACAAATCAAGGATTTTATTTTTACAAGTTTTTGTCTATGTTTGACATTTATATAAAAACGTAACTCACAAAGTTCTTTACGGCTAATAGAAGAATCTCTAAGTGAGGAGCAAATTCTTTCTAAAGAAACAGTAAGAGGAAAAGAAAGGACAACACCATGGAACTATGAAGAAGAAACTATTCTTTTTTTAAAAAGCCGTTGATTTTTAACAATTACTCACATGCACACACAAAAGGTTTCTCATCATTTGTGTATTTGGAAAGGGGATAATCTCTTGGCTTTTCAATTTCACTCTTGATTTCTTCAACATTATGGCTGTGAAATACCCGTCGTCACGACCTTCAAAAGTTTGTAGAAAAGAATTTCGGTTGAGAAGACAAGAGTGTAACAGGTTCCCCTACTGAAGATTTTATAGCAAATAAGTACAGACACTCAAATGGATCTCAATCTTAAAACTATTATTTCAAAACAGTTGAAGATGGCCAACCATGCCCCATATTTACCTGCCCCCTCCCACAATGTCACGGAAGTATGGACGAAATATAAAAATAAACATGACTTCACACAGGCGCCAAAATCGTTAACGGTGCCAACAGGAAACAAATGTACTTCTCACTCGGAAGCCCCAGGGGAATTACGATAAATGAACAGGAAACACAAAAGGCGTAAAGCTGCAGGAGGAACAGAAGAGAAGAGGCAGGGAGGGAGGCTCCAACAGTTCAATAAAAACCACCAAGTAGATGGAGGAGTGGTACCTGGTTTATCGGAACAGAGGGTGCAAAGAAGAAAAAGGAAGATAAGGAAGGAAAAAGGAGAAAAGAAGGAAAAGAGAATGGAAGGGAAGGAAGGGGTGGGAGGAAGGCTAGAGAGGTGGCAGGGGGGCCGGAGAGGGACAGAGAGAGGGACGAATTTTCCAGAACTGAAGGTCACAAACCTCCAGACTGAAAGTTCCTTCCAAGTGTTCAGAATGTATGAGAAAAAAACCCAAAAAAACAAAAACCACCCACAGAACACCAGGATGGAAAAGAAGACCCTCAAAGCTTAGGGAGAGGGGAGGCCAGGAATTAGTACGGCTTCAAACTTATAATCAACAATGGAAACCGGGCAACACTGATCAATACCTTTCTACCCAGAAATCTATGTGCAGCCAAACAATCAACCAATTCTGGGGACGAATCACAGGGATTCAGAAACTGCCCTCACCACACACTCTCTCTTAGAAAGTGATTACAGAATCTGCACAATAAAATGCGGAAGTACACCGGGGAGGAGGCAGGCGCCGGTTCAGAAAACAAGAAATCCAATCCAGGAGCGAGAAAAAGAATCCCCAGAAGGGAGCCCTCCCCGTGGCCAGTCTGGGCTAGACAGCGAGTCAGGAGCAAACCTCGTCCTGTGGACACGGGGAGGCAGCGGGGACGGGGGATTGAGCCAAAGTGGTAAACACAACAGGTTTTATAGAAAGACATCTTATTTAGAGTAAAAAGCTAGAAAAAAATACTTTTGAAAAAGCATAACCACGTGAAGCTAATATAGCATGTGCATTGTAACTGAAAAATTAAGAATTTGGAAAAAAGCGTAACTACAATGCAATTATCACTTAAAATTTTTAATGACTTAATGTCCCCAAATAGCTACTGTCTCAAATTTTGACAACTTACATTTTCCTGAGATATCATTCATTTCAACCACTTTCTCACTGCAAAGCTTTATAAAATGTTCTCCTATAGTTCTCTCAGTATTTTGTGTCTGGCTTGTTTTGCTTAAACTTACTGTGTTTGTACTTTTTTTTGGCCTATGCTCCAATAGGCTAACTTTGATTTCTTTCATTGACACATTTTTTGAAGAAAAAGACAAGGTAAACAACAGGAAAGCTGTTACCTGTAATAATCTCATAACTACGTGCTCTCTTCTTTAGCAAGCTGTAATATGGGGGAATAACTTCCTGCAGAAATATCACATCCGGGCTGTACCTATTTGGAAACATCAGTTAATGGTGAACAGCAGGTCTGTCCCATTTCATCTGCAGAACCTAGATTAGGAAATACCACCACATAAAAGCAATACAAAACTGACCGCCGCAGACACCCAATATCCAATGTTCATGCTGCTCTCTGGTAACTATAAAATGAGAGATCTGTGCTATTTCACACATAATACTGCAAAGACTAATTTTAAAAAACATATACGTGACACCACACTGTAAAATTAATGAGAATCGTTGACAACAGGAAGCAGTAATCTGAGAGGCACCACAGTCCTGCACCCCGCGGGACACTTCACGTGTGATCACCCCTTTCCGTCCTCGTCCTCTGGAAACAATGATCCCTGATGAAGAAAACAGCCCCGGCCAGCGACGCGGCTCACCAGTGACCCCACAGGTGACAGACTGTGGCAGACTCAGAGCTGTCTGGTAGTTCTCGTGGCAGTGATTACATACAAGGTCAGTAAGTCAAATAGCACGAGAAGGCTTCTAACAAAAACCTGTGTTCCTGCCCCGCCCCTCCCTCCACCCTGGGAGCTGGACCTGAATTCCAGTCTCAGACTTCAGCAGCTGCCTCCTGCACCAGGACCGCCCCCTCCCACAGGCGGGCAAGCACTCACAGCTCCAGGGCGGCACACACCCCTTGAGCCCGCTCCAACAGGTTGTTCAGATCCAGCCCATCCACGTTCCAGGTGACGAGAGAGAACATGCTGCCGTCTTCCTGCTGGGGGGGTCCAGCTGAGCCGCTTCTAGAGCCGACGGGGTCAGGCGCTTCCTCACTGGTTAGGTCCACACTGGCAAGATCAGAGTGAAACACAACCTGGCAAATCGCCCACAAATGGCTTAATTTAAAAAGTGCTTCGTCACAGTTAAAGGCATTTTACAGACTCCAAAGTCCCTGCCAGCAGAGCAAAAGTCACGACTGAGGGAGTGACTTTTCCTGTTATAGACTCTTCCTGTTATCTGGACGCTTGCTCCTTACAGTTAGGAGTGAACGCAAGGCCCTTCCATGGCATGACTTTATAACGAGGACCCCATGTCAGACCAAGCCCTTTCCAAACGTATTTGGGTTCTTGTTTCTAAAAGTGCAGAACTGAGCCCTGGCCAGTGTGGCTCAGCGGGCTGGGCGCCGTGCCCTGCATCAAGGCTGCTGCTTCGACGCCAGGTCTCACATAGGTGTTTCTCTCTCCCCACTCCCTTCCTTTTTCTCTCTAAAAATCAATAAAAAATCTTTTTTCTTTTTTTCCCCTTTAATTAAAGGCCTATTCAGATTTTGCCAACTATGCTACTAGATCCTACTCCAGGACCTGGCATGTTTCTCTCGGTCTCCTTTAACCCAGAATCGTCCTCCAGTCCTTGCCCCTTGTCACCTGGGCGTTGGGAAGCACACAGGCCCGGTATTTTGTAGAACCTGCCTCCTTAGGGCCTGTCTGACGTTTTCTGAGGATCAGATCTGGATTATGCACTTTTTAGGAGGAACGACACGGAGGTGCTAGTGTCTTCCTCAGTGGGTTTCGTCCCCAGCACTGGCCATGCTGCCTCTGACCGCCCGGTCTTGGCTGGGGTGATGTCTACCCCACTGCTCCCCGCCCGGGGCTCACCCGTGGGGAGCCTTTGGTGGGCAGGCCTTTGGGACTATGCCACCCCGTCTCTCCCCCGCCGCTGGTTTCAGCAGCCCTGGTGATTTCTGTCTGGAATCATTACCGCCCGGTGGTTCCCACGTGTGCTTTTTTCTAAGTCCATCAGCCTCTCCATTCACATCTGCTCTAAGGGCACCGTGCCTCCCGGGATGCGTCTTGCATTCTGCAGGTGAAGCCTGAGGTCAGAGTTCACAGGCAGGGGGTGCGTCTGGCAGAAAACCACTGGCTGCCGCGGAGAGTAATCAGCAAAGAGCCCAGCGATGAGCACGGACCCAGGAACCAGAGGTCACCGGTTCATTCCGGGTCAGGGCGCAGGCCGGGTGGTGCGCTTGACCCCCAGCAGGGGGCGTGCGGGAGGCAGCTGGAGGATGATTCTCTCCGAAAATCAATAAAAACCATGAAAAACAAACTAAAAACAGTCAATACAGGCGCAGGCGGACTTCCAAGTTACCGGGTTTCCATGGAGGCGCTTGCCTCATCCATTCGTTTGGAACCTCTCGCTGGCATGTTTCCTGAACTTGGAGTGAGGAACAGTCCAGAGGGGGCTTCCCGGACCTCCGTCCACCGGACCCCCCTCCACCCGGGCTCCACCCAGCTCCG